AAAAATGTTAACAATGTAAAAGCCATCTAGGGTGTCGATATTTTGATTTAAATGACTCTTTAATTTCAGACTTTCTTGATAACGTTTTTCAGAACTCTTTTATTCATAAACTGTCTGGTTTCTTTGGTCCTTCAGTTCTTCCTTTTAGCTCTGGACTTTGTTCTTTTGGACAAAAGTTCAAAAACCTTCATTTTTTTAAACTTTATTGAAATATTTTTTCAACTACTTCCAATGTTTTTTTTCTTGGTTAAAATCCTAGGGCTCACAAAATCCTCTTCAAAGCTTCACCAATGTAGCCAGTTGATGCTATGAAGACCTAGAGACTGGATATGAATGGGATTTGGACTGAAACTTCGTAAAAAGGTTGATGGCTTTGGCAGGTATGTCGGTTGCCTTTCCTTCAAATATTACCTAAAACTTACAAACTTAAATAGCGTGGATCCTTGTGCTTTTATTCTGAAGTGCAGACCTTATATTTTTTTAGGAAAAGTTTTATTTTCAAATTAGGATTTTTTTTCCAAAAATATTTTTTCCTTGTGAATTAAAATCAATTTATGACTTACTATACATTGCTTTGTTGAAAAGTCTCTTACTGTTCTTAGCTTTGTAAAAAAAGTCTCTAAAAACGTTTGTATTTCTGTGTCCTTCCGCATGAATTTTCATTTCTAACTTACTGCTGGTAGCTACGTTGCTGTTGGGAGCTTTGCTCTAGAGTTTCTCTAAAATCCTTCGTTGTTTCTATTTTGTTGCCTGTCAATTTTTATTGTAAAGTTGCTATAAGGAGTTTTGCTTTAGAGTTTCTCTAAAATCCTTCGTTGTTTCTATTTTGTTGCCTGTCAATTTTTATTACAAAGTTGCTGTAAGGAGTGTTGCTTTAGAGTTTCTCTAAAATCCTTCGTTGATTTTATTTTTTTGCCTGTCAATCTTTATTGCAGAGTTGCTATAAGGAGTTTTGCTTGAGAGTTTCTCTAAACTTCTTCGTTGTTTTTATTTTCTTGCCTATTACTTTTTATTTCTACGTTGCTGTAGGGAGCTTTGCTTTAGAGTTTCTCTAAAATCCTTAGTTGTTTTTATTTTTTTGCCTGTCAATTTCTATTGCAAAGTTGCTATAAGGAGTTTTGCTTGAGAGTTTCTCTGAAAGCCTTCGTTGTTTTTTTTTTGCCTGTCACTTTTTATTGCAAAGTTGCTATAAGGAGTTTTGCTTGAGAGTTTATCTAAAATCCTTCGTTGTTTTTATTTTTTTGCCTGTCAATTTTTATTGCAAAGTTGCTGTTAGGAGTTTTGCTTCACAGTTTCTCTAAAGGTCTTCGTTGATTTTATTGCTTTGCTTTTTATTTTCTTGCCTATCACTTTTTATTTCTACGTTGCTGTAGGGAGCTTTGCTTCAGATTTTCTCTAAAAATCTTCGTTGATTTTATATTCTTACCTATCACGTTTTATTGCAATGTTGCTGTAGGGAGCTTTGCTTAAGAGTTTCTCTAAAAATCTTCGTTGTTTTTATTTTCTTGCCTATCACTTTTTATTTCTACGTTGCTGTAGGGAGCTTTGCTTTAGAGTTTCTCTAAAAATCTTCGTTGTTTTTTTTTCTTGCCTTTCACTTTTTATTTCTACGTTGCTGTAGGGAGCTTTGCTTTAGAGTTTCTCTAAAAATCTT